CCTTGTCAGAAATGCAAAAATACCATAATAAGTTTGCCTAGAGCACAAGAATAGGTTCAGATAGCAATATCCATGACCATACCTCTAAGGTTTTAAAAAAAGAATGTATTTCTACACAAAAATATTACTTGCATGCTAAGAATAGCTGATATTGCAAAACCATTAATGCATAAAGTTGACTACAAAAATTTTGGAGAAATAATAGCCGCTTCAGGCCAGGCTTACCCTGAAAGACAACTTAGTTATAGTAACTGAGAAATATCTTGCCATATTAACTACGGTCATCAACTTTCCACCACCTGACTTGCGGGTTTTCTGAGAGGGGCGAGACCTTTTCTTCTGAGTGCCTTTGCGTGAAGGCGGTGAAGCCTTTGTAACAATTTCTAAATCACATATTAGCACATGCAATTTTGGATCCCTGGATGAAAAGCCATCCCCGAATTTAACTAACGATTTCCTTAAGCTTAATCTGATTTCGCCAATGGAAATGCTCTCAACAGCACCCTGCAAAAGCAGACATAAAAAAAAAATGAAAAATAAATAATTTGAGCATCTCAAAATTAAAATCAGTTCTAACAAACAACATTTTTTAGAATAACATATTTGGTCCATGACATTTTCTTATAAACTAATATAATAGAGGTATGAAGCATGAATCAGAAATCAAGATGGTTTTGCAATAATACCACACAAATCCACATTTTAAATGGTCCCGTAGGAATATCCAGTAAGCAAGGACATTAACAAGCCATTGCCACTTCACTGGAGAAAAATAAAAGAATCTTAGGATTTCTAATATAGGCTGCCATCTCAGTATATTGATCTTCTGGAACTCAAGAAAATGGTTTCTACCATGGCGTAGCGATTTCCCAAATCAATAATATGACTTAATGACTAGAAAGCTTGCTCCTATGGCAAAAACAGCTCCAGGAGAAACTGCTTTCCAGTTGACTACTCTTATCCAGGACAAAAAATTGATGCATGTGTGCAAAAGGAGAGCACAAAAGGCAAATCCCATTTATCTACCAGTGAATCTCGTGATGCAAATGTACAATAAGCGAAAAGAATGACCATTTCACTAAAAGAACACTTCACTTGACATTTTTTGAAGGATGGTATATAGTCATCAAACACAGGAAACTTCAATTAGAAAGCATGGGTTTTCTGGCAAAAAAATGATTTCAATGGGGACGAACTAAAGTGATAGTTACCATAAAGAAATGTGGGATACAATTTGAATTGCACCTCTAAAGAATGATAATTAAACATTCAGAAACAAATCGAATGCACACTTTTAAAGCTAATAAAACTTTAAAGAATGACCTTTTTTAGCTTCACCACAACATTTCTCAAACTCCTCAATCCTCCGACGCGAAATCCGATAGATATTCCCAATACACATCTCAAAATCAGAAGTATGAACTTGGTAGCAAATCTGAAACAAGATTCACGACTGAGAAATTCAAAATAAAAAATTCAACAAATTGAAGGAGGCAAATAAAAATGAAAATCAAGACAAGAGTCCTTGATTTGAATAACTTATCAAGTTTGATGACACTAGCATGTAGAAGGTCCTTTAAGGCTACATGATTCAAATTAAGAGATCTGTGTTCTAAATACTGACAATATAAACAATACAATTGTCACAACAATGTAGATGATACAACAGCAACAGTAAAAAAACAGATAATCCAAAGTTGTATCTGAACTGTAGTCTTTGATTAGTAAAACTAATCAATGGTACCACTAAACTAGAATCATTGAGTGGGATTCCATTCAAAGGTAATCACTTTGGTTGAATTGTCACGAAGCTAAATAGCCAAATCTGCTCTTTAACAGATCATATAATTGCAGGTCTACTCTAATTCACTTATATTTACCCTCATTTTCTTCTACAGCCTTTTATTACTTGGAAATGTCAATGCTCATCAGATTGCTATGGGTATGTTCTCATTGATCTGTATCATCAGAATGACCCAACTCCTTCCTCTAATTTCCTGCCTCATTCATTTAACGACCAAAGGCTAAGAATTTCCATAAATTGCTCAGTAATGATAATTCTTTTAAAAAAAATAAAAAATGCAACCTCAAATGTGACTAAACATATCTCCTAACTCCAACATTAAAGAATAGATTCCATATAAACCCAACCTGATTACTGCATACGCCAAGTCCAATCAATCTAATGTCTAAAATAATTTTGGAACATGATCGCTGTAACAAAATTGAAGCTCCCTTGGCACAATAATACGTTTCGTATGTACAACTAAAAAACTGCATAGTATGAACGTGAATTGCGTTTGCCTTACATGAAGAAAAGCCATAGGGCGAAGGGAAGTAAGAAGAGCTTCGCCGAAAAGGCCGGCATTTCCAGTGACAAATCCATCTATCGTCGAGCTTTAGCAAGAGGATTTCAATGGAAGTGTGGCCTGCGTGCATGTATTTTCAATGTGAAGAGGACTGGCAAAATGGAGAAAATGTATCAGAATTAATATCCATATATAGTTGAGAAGGAAAGAATTGTTAGAATTAGGAAGCTTTGTGGAAGAGAGAAGAGGAAGAAACGGTCAAGAGGGACATATAGCGCCGATCCGCCATACGTGCTCTGTAGTGTCGATGATCAAATGAGTGTGTTAACTGTGAAGGAGGGAAAGCCGAAGAAAAAATGAGAGCCAAAAATGCTCGTGCACCCGTGTCTTTTTTTTTTTTTTTCATTTAAACATATTTACACCACAAAAATAATGAACGACAGAAATCAATTACCCCATTAGTAAAATTAAAATTAAAACTTGTGAGCAATCCAACCAAGTTGATCAAATTATTGACTTTGTAATTACAATATTACAAGTTTGACTCTTTGTGTTTCATTAGATTGAGAAAGTATGTTTGAACAGATACTACAATGTAATAGAGCCAGTAGCATTCAAATAATAATAATAATAATAATAATAATAAATTACATCCCCTCCCTTGGTATTTCAATTCATTGATTTTTAGGAAGATAAAAGGACAAAATTACCCTTTGTAACCTAATGTCTAACATTTTCCTATTGATTATAGCGCGTCTTCTTCTTCGACTCTTAACACATAACACCTAAGACTTGCCAATGCTCTCCTCCTATCTTTCTGAGCAATAATCATTAGTATGCCAACCTTAATCAAGTATGTTTTCTCAAAACTCTCTATGATGTTTTTTTTAGATGTAAGCTTTTTTAAAATGTTGACATTTTGTTATGTTTAATTAGGTTGTGTACTTTTATTTTTATGAAGTTTTTTTTGGATGTGAACTTATGAAGCTTACATTTGATGACCTATTTGCATGAAAATTAATTGCAATGTGTCCATTTTAAGAATACGGTAGATGAGTGGTATTTGAATATGTTATTTTATTGGTGTTTGAATATGCAGATGGGTCTAAGAGATACTTGTCATTTAATAATAAGTATGTGCATTTTGAACTTTATACTATTTATTCACTTTCAATTCTCATGTATACCAAATATTGGAATTAAAATTTTCAGTAATTCTATTTTTGCAAACTAAATACTTAGAATTTAAATTGTTACATTATTATTTTCTCATAAAATTTAAATTATTTTTCCTCATAATTCTTCCATCTAACCAAACGTCTCGTAAAAATTGAAGAATTACTTATGATGAAAATTGTAATATTTATGTGAAGAAAATGTAACACTTAAAAAAAAAAAAATCGATTTAAGGCGAAATTCCCCCCCCCCCCCCCCCCCCCCCCCCACCCTCAAAAAAAAAAAAATTATGAAAGAAAAAGTAACGTATGATCTAGAACTTTGCCAGGCGTTGTTTTGTCCATGACAATTATAGGGATGTTTATCATTTTTCTTTTTAGATTATATTAATGTGTTCATGATACAGTTTGCTTTATTGCATTTAAATTTCAAAATTAAACCACAACACAAAAATTAATAGGTTAAAATGAGATGACAACTTATTTAATATCGTATGTTTTATTTCAATAAACCTATGAATATATGTGTAATTTTAACCTGAATTTACTAAGCTACAGAATCTATCGGAATACATATATGAAGTAAATAAGTTCGATTCTATTAACTTAATGAAATATATGATAAAATGATACAATCATTCACTAAAGTTTAAATGATTACATCCATTTACAAATTTATCATTCTCATCACTTATTAAATATGTTTATATTTTATTTTTCAAAAAAAAAAGAAAAGAAAAGATGATTATTACGTACCAACTCCACATGTACACTAATTTGCTTAGAATGGAATTTGTCTCAAGATTCAAGTGTATAAGTCATTACATTTGAATATGCTTGTAATTAATTTGAAAATTATAATAGGAAATTCGTTAAATTTGTAAATATTTTTGGTTGTTATTATGTTGGGGGTATTTGGTAAATAGTTGTTGCTTGTTAGCTGATTGGGTTAGTGGGTTTGACTAGTTGATAGCATTAGCTGATTACATGCATTGTTTAAGCTATCCGAATGAGGAATGTTAGATCTATTTGTCTACTAAGTTTATAAATTTTAATTGTATAAATTGTATATTTCGAAATCAAGCAAGTATAACATTATAAAACATAATATAAGATGGCAAGAACTCGCCGCACCTAAGGACATCGCCGCTATATATATATATATATTAAAATTCAATATTTAATACATGAACCATGAGTTCTATTTTATTTTTCATTTTTTTTTCCTATTTTTGATTTAAAAGTAAAGGAGTAAAATGGTAATGGATTTTGCAATTACTAAAGAATTTAATTCCAATAGTAAGATAACAAAAGTAGGCAAACAAACATGTCAATGAGTATCGAAATATATAGTAAAGTGCAAAAGTCTCCAACCAAAGACCCCCATAATATATTCAATATAAATATACAATCTAACCCTCCATTTAGATTTTTAACTGAGATTAAACATATATTCAATTTGGTATAAAAATCAGACATATGCGACAGGATATTTTACTGTGCTTGTGTGCTCCAGTTTATGAACTTAGTAAGCTTTTAAACATTTACTGAATACGAATTGAATTCCTCCTTTGTTGCAGGCATAAACCATCCACGTACATAAGAAATATTTTAATGGTAATAATAAAGAATTATAGACTCGCAATCCCCAAGAACGTTTATCAGTTTCAAATGAAGCAAATCAATCTCGCACAGTTTCTGAGTCTTGCTTGAGTGGCCACCGTAAGTTGTACAGAACAAGACCTATGATAAGAACCAAACTGCCTAGAAGGAAGAAAGGGCTCAAGCTTGAACCTTCCGGGAGATATGGCATTGGAAGAGAAAGTAGATAAATTGACAATGGTACTGCATCACAATAAGAAAAGCATCATTTGAAAGAAAGCACAGTTTATAGGTGTTAGTGTACATGGAGTAATAGAGAATGCGCAAACTTGAATGAGAGAGTAAAACCTGATGACATCACAGCAAGGGAAGAAACAACAGCCGTCGAAATTTTCACCAGATTGAGAATCGATATGTTGAAAGCTATATTGGTAGTTATGTAAAGGAGAGGCAGCAATGGGGCTCCGTCACAGCCTGGCCAACAAAACACTTGTCAAGAAAAGTAACACGTAGTTCTTCATCTGCACCTTAACTCGGGAATTCAGATTGAGTTTGTTTCTTAACACCAACCCACCCACCCCCCCCCCCCTCCCCCAAATTTTATTTGAACTACCACCCTTTGCCTTGTCAAGATTGGGATGAGTTGATAGAATGAAACAGGGAAAGTGGGGGTGAGGTTTACAGTCTAGTCAAGACACCTACAAAATTTATTTATTTATTTTTTTTTTTTTTGAGGAACCTACAAATATTTTAGTTGACCTATGTTCAATGTATTATGCCAGGTTTCCCTAAATTTGAAGCCATTAACGGATCAAATTTCCCTATCAGAAGTAAAAAAGTGGAAAAGGTTACATCAAGATCCAGAATGTGAAGTATAACCTGATGTATCATTTCCAATATTGAAGAAGCAACCAGCTCCACTCTTGAGGAAAGAAGGCAGCTGAGAAAATGGTATGCCCTTCAAGTTTGACAGGAAAGGCAGAAATAGTAGAACAAAAAGAGCCTGCAGATGAGAGCATAAATATAGAATTAGCATTTAGAAAAATATGACTCGATCAAAGAGTCAGTATGTCAACACAATAAGAAACTGTAATTGAAACCCTCTTATTCATGCCACCAAAAATATCAAAACCATTTTGGAATATAGAAGAAACAAAGCATGGAAAAAGAACAATGAATTCACAATGAGAAAACCTAATGCAAATACTATTTACACCTACCTGATAGGTTAGTGCATTTCATCAGTTCCTAGAAGAAATAAAATGCAGAGCTATGTTTGCAGGCACATATGAAACAAAGACCAATGTCTGTGCTATTAGGAAATTACCTGGAATCCAGATCCAAATGAATTGACGACAAAAATATCAAGCATCTTTCCCTGTATTGATTGCATGATTTTTGAGAAACTCACATTAAGATTAGTATAGCACAAATCATGGAAGTAGAAAAAGGCCTTTCCAGAACTATCAACTTCACAAGGTGGTTTTTCTTAAAAGAAAAGAGATAGAACACCATAATAGCAAGGTACAGATTAGACATAATTCACCAACTGAATAGAGAATGAAGAGAGCAAACAGTTCCCACAATGAAAATTTCTAAGTAGATAAGAATTCTGCACACACCTTAAGTTGGGTTGCAGCATTAATGAAGACAGATTCCTACACATTCACAAACCATTCAAATCATTATATGCCCATTAAAAGTGACACAATGGAGTGACTATAGCCAAGGCATACCTTAATAATGGATGCACCTGCTTGAAAAGCACTTGAAGCTATCATTAAAACAGGCCAAAGCAAAGCAATTCCAGAAAACATATTACCACTGCCTGATCCACTGCAGTCAAATCACAGCCACTTAAGATATATACAGCGTGAGCATAATAAATTATGCAGGGACACAGCAACCATAAAATAGCCATTCAACTTAAAGTCATTCTCAGTTTTCTAGCATGCTTAACATTTTAATGTTTTATACACTGAAACCATAATTTTGTTTATTCTCATGGGAATTGGATTTTCTTATGAAAGATGAAACTTTACTTAGTAGTTGTGTAAGGAGCTTCATTTATTCAGAAGCAATAAGTAACCTGCAGGATACTGCCCTAAGAGGATCCAATAACATAAAACAAGAATGTTCCACTGGGCCTATCAAATTAAATAGTAGCCAGTTCAAATACATATCAATAATATCATAACTTTAAGGAAGAAATTTCAGGACCTTGTAACTGCCAATACCACACCAGCAGCTACTAGTAAGCACCCAAAAATTTGATTTGGAGTGTATGTCGTCCCAAGTAACAAAAAAGAAAGAGCCAACTGCCACACTAAAAAGGTCTGCAACAAAAGATTCTTCATGAGATAAGCAACGGTCGCAACATATATTGGAAAAATAGCTTGTGCATTTATGCCATTTAAGTAGTTTTCAAAAAATTCAGTTACTTTTTAAATGACCAGGTTTGTTCCCATTTCTAATGCAGCAGCAGTCCAGCTTTCACATTTAATTTCTTGATCAATGAAAGACATGATTTGAAAAACTACACCGTACTTCTTTTTGATGAAAAGAAAAGCCTATTTATTGGAAAATTAGTCAATGGACAAGTGAGAAAAGAAAGTTATGGATTTCTCAATAGTTTAGATGGATCATCTTTGCAAAAAGAAGGGACAACAACTCAATTATATTAGTACAAAGTACTACATGCACTTGATACCTGACTCAGTATTGGAATGGATGGTCCAGGAAGCATGGCTGTAGTATAATAGAAAGGTCATCAGAAATCATCAAACTTTCCCTCAGTACTCTATGAGACTCTTTACATTACTTCCCTAGTTCTCTTTTTTATTTAAGATCAAGTTTTGGAACAAATATGCCAATAAACAAAAGAAATTATTAGAAGAGAACCACTACAGTTGCATATACTTAAGATGAAAAGAGAAAGTACAAACAGCAAACTTTAAGTCATTTATTATATTTAGAAGCCCTGCAATGTACAGATTATAAGTGAAGCCATAAGTGCTAGTCACTGAGTCTCTGTCTAAGAAGTCCAGTGCCACTGATTATTCTTAAATTTCCTGGGTAAATAGTATACTGTACCTCCAGCATACATTCCAGAAACAACTCCAAGGGCTTCCAAAAAGCCAATGAGCCAAAAACTTGACTTTGGAAGGGTCATCATATCTTTGGTTACTATCCCAGCACGGTATCTCAAATAAAGCATGCAAAAGTAAATACCCAAGTACCTGAATTTCACAGAAAGATCATCAGATCACGACTGAAAAACTATGAACTACACATCTATGACAAAGAATCAACCTATAGTATTAATGGCTGCATCTTGGCATGATAGGTATGAAAGATAGCATATTTATGTCCTTTATATTGGTTGTTTAGCTGATTTGTAAGTGGCAGTTGACATACACCAGACATTTGAAATTTCACAGTAAATCCCAATATAAGTATAGGGCAGATAAACCACGGCATTATTCTTCTCATTGCTCTATAAATTCAAACTATTCCATATGCACACACACAAGCAATCAAAATAATACTAATAGCTTTCCAGAAAATCATCAATGAGCGGATCAGGATTAAGATCATCCAGAAATAAAATCATGTAAATTTACCCGAAAGTAGTGACCTGAGCTAGGAAAAACGGATATTCCTTCATTGGAACGAGTGCGAGTTTGTAAAGCACCCGATTAGCTACCCCAAGGATCACAGTAACTGCAGAGTTCAAGATCACAGCCTTAGTATTTGAACTCGGCGGAGCATCGGTGCTCTCAGACGAAGCGCGGATGGCCAATCTCGAGCTCGTCGACGGAGAATGCTCAGTGTGAACGGTGTTCCGGCGTCGGATTTCGAAACGTTGACCGAGGAGGTTGATCGGAAAAGAGGGTGGAAGGGAGAGATTGTGACGACGGTTTGAAGAAGAAGGCGGCATTGCCGGAAGGCGTCCATTGATGACGTGGTGAGAAGTAAGAGTGCGGAAATGTGGTGTTAAAAATCTGGCGCGAGTACTACGAGCGGCACAGATTGATTCCATGAGGACAGGGAAATGGCGGTGCTGTGTTGCCGTTTACCAGCTACCTACTACAACAAACGACAACCAAAAATATCGAGTGCCTTCCACGCATCTCTTTTGCACATGTTTGTCGTGTAATAATTAGAAATATCACTTTAAAATAAATTATGTAAAATTAAAAAATCAATATAGGGATATACCACTGAGAAAAATAAAAATAAAAATGTTCAACCAAACACCTTAGGGGTCGTTTGGTTCACGGAATGTCAGATTACCTTAGGGAATGTTAGATTGCTGGGAATGTTAGATTACTGGGAATCTTAGATTCCTGTGTTTGGTTAAAATTGGTGTATGTTATATAATCATGTTTGGTTTAGGTTTATCTTTTATACACACACTATAATATCTCTAACATAACCAAGGTTATCTTACATAACCTAAGAAATTGAAGGGAATCACATTCCCTTCAAAATCCTATGTGGAGGGAATGTGACATTCCTTGGGAATGTTAGATTCCCTCAGATAATATGAACCAAACATAGGAATCTGAGTTTTGGAATGTTACATTCCCTTGGTTATGTTATATAACCTGAACCAAACGCCCCCTTAGAGTCTACTAAGACTTTGTGGTCTAATGGCACCGGGTTGGATTTCCATATGGGAGGTTGTGAGTTTAAGTCTCAGAGTCTTGTTTTTATAGCTGTAAAAGATCCCTTCTACTAAAATTTTTACTAAAATGTTAGACAGAAGTAAAAATTTAATTTAAAAATTGACTAGGTGACTCGCAATTTACTTCATCTAACCACTCTTTTGTAAGGGTTTAGAAATAGTATAACTTAAACATGATAACTAACGTATTAAAAAGGAGTTGAGAACATCATCTTGTTGTCTAACCCTTTAGGCGAGAGGAAGGCATTGCCAATTGATAGTACTAAAGGCAAACATATTGACCCTTCTAAAGCAATCGCAAGAGTGACAAGAACCAAAAGTTCAGTTCCTGCTGGCGCCCAGCGGTTAGCCTCTATCGAATGAACAAAGAAATAAATCCAACGGAGAAGAACAATTTAACAAGAGTCTGGTTTCAAAATGACTTGTATAAATGTTTCTTAGCATCTAAGGTTAAAAAATGACAAATTATCAATGCATGGTATAATAGGGCATAAATATATGGGATAAGCAAGGATGACAATCTTGAACTAAACCATAGTACAAAAGGAGAGTATGCTGGAATGAAGTGAGGATCACTGTATACAGGTTGACACAAAAGGTGTTGCAATTTCATCTCTAGCCTGGAAATGTAGCCAAAGGAATGAAACCCAGCTTTCTCCAATTCATATTTCACTAGCATCAAATTTCTATGAAGCAGAACTAAGAAAAAAAAAAAAAAAAAAAAAAAAAAAAAAACTTGTTCAACAGTTTCTTCATTTGCAATCCCCTCACTGGGTGAGAAGCTTTGAATCACACGCCACAATCTTAACACGACTAACATTCTCCTGGCATTCCTCACTCTTGAATATGGCATCTTGTAAGATGAAAGTCCAAACGTTGTCGCAGAATCTATATGTGTGAAGATGCCCCTGATGCCAAAAATTGGGAAATCTGATGTTAACATCAGGATACAACTTGAATGCAACAGACAGATTATAATTTATAGCATCAGGCATCACAATTATTGCGGTCTCAAATGCCACCACAGGCTTGTTTAATTGTTCTAGTGTTACCAAATGAAGCCAAATAGTAGGATGCATGCTTCCTACTTCAACCACTGTAAACACTAAAATCTTGAACGTAGAACAAGCATATCAAACCAAAAACAGTACTTCCAATGTCATTTTTACTAAAAGATATTTTTAGCATGTATTTAACCTTAAGTGTCCATCAAAAGTTTACAGGTATGGCAATTGGAACCAGTAGAATACAAAATATCATGATATTGATGGGCAATAGTCCCAAAATCTTGTGAGTGATTGTGGGGTCCACATATTAAATGTGAAGCAAACAATGGACTGGATAGGATTGGTGACAACCCCTAATTTTAGTCCAAATCCATCCAGTCCTGTGTACCAAATGATCCTTAGTGCTCAATAGAAGCCCATGCCTATTAGGCTATTATTGTGAGAGAAAGGAATGGCTAATAAGATATTTCCTATTTACTGATTCTGTGTGTTAATAATAGTTGTCAATGAAGTTCAGAACATCACAGTATTATATTTGTTAGTCAATCAGCAGAGTTTATTGCATAAGGGATGGGATCCAAAATGCCCCAACTAAGCCCCAATGCTAATCTAGTTCTGGTAAGCTAAGTTCCTAAGATAAAAAACTGTGATTTTAAGGCCTGGATTTCAAAAAGATCAATAAGAATAGAATATGGAGAGCAGCTTATAGCAGATCAAACCAGAATTATAAACTACACTGATCACATACAAAAACCCATCCTTCCAAATTGCACTGCCCTCTAAATAACTATATAATCTCATTAAATATCCTTCCATGTTCATTCTTACATTGGCACTGCCTCACTGTAAGATTTTAAGTCATAAAGGCACACCATGCCCAAGAAGAAAGACCTCATAGAAAAGGTTACACACAAAGATCTATTTTCATGTGCATTATATCAACTATGAAGGCCTTGATGATGAACCTGCATTGCACCCAATGTAAGAATTTCCCTCTTTATGTCCACTGTTATAAAATATAGCCCAAGTTCAAAATATTTTATGAATTCGTCTCGAATTCTTTATCAAACCCAAGCAATAGACATGACCATGAGAATGAGGTCTAAAATAATATGAATCAACAAAACAAAATGGGTCATTTTTTGTTGTCCCTTAGTGCTGCCTTGTATTTGAAGTTAAACTGGTAAATACAAATTACCTACCTTTAAAATTATGGAATTGTGCTGCTCTCTTTTTCCCTAAATCAGTAAATACCAACAGAATAAATTTAAAAGTATACCTTGATTGAAACTTTGTTCTTCACCTGAGCCTCCAGAGCTTCAGTCATCGACTGCATTAAATAACATACTATCAAAGAGGTCTTGGAAATTGGAATGAAGAGAATACACAAAACTAGAACTAAAAGAAAATAAAACCACGGAAATATGGATACATCCATGCAGCAGATTTCTTCATTTACACACATACCCAGAAGCAAATTACTGTAAAACAAGAAGATCTGAAAAGCATAACATCCGTGCCAAAGCTAAAAATCATCAATATTTGCTGAAATATTAAAAATCACAACATAAATAACGACAATAAGAGACCTTGTCGAACTGAACAAGGACTTGGATGGCAATCTCTGGGCTGAGAATTCCATTGGAGACCATCTCATCGAGCGTCTCCGTCAAACACATCCCGATCGTCGATCTCCTGTAAAGCTCGAAGGTCGCCATTCTTGTTCCTTTCCAAGATCTGCCAACAAAATTTTAATTTAATAAAAAACTGATTAAAAAAAAGTAAGAGAAACGAATCCATTGGGGCTCAGATTCAACACAACAAAATTGAATTCAAAAAGTAAAAAAACTAAAGTAGTTTCCACGGAAAATTACTGTAAAATTGCAAGTTAGAATGAAGTTTGGAAGAGGATTGAGGGAGGGGTCCAACTGTTGGGAAGTGGAGAGAAAGAGAAGAACCTTGGCTTTGGCGTTTGAAGAGAGGGAGAAGAATTGGGGCTTTTATACCCTAGTTTTTGTAGCTAGGTGCTTATATAGCCGAAGGCTGGAATGGTAAGTGTAAAGGACCGAACTATCCTTCCCTTTTTTTTTTTTTTTTTTTTTTTTTTTTTTTTTTTTTAAACCCACAAAATCAAAATTCTATATTTCAACGTATTCCATATCAAGACAACATATGAAGAAGTTGCATGGTGTTTGGTTGGAAGAAGATAATTACGTGGTAAAAGAATTGTAATTTTATAGGAGATAAATTACTGAGAATAAAGTGAAAATTTAAATTTTAATATTTGGTTTACAGAAATAAAATTATTAGAAATTTTAATTTCAATGTTTGGAATACATAGAAATTGAAATGAAATAAGTAGTATAAAGTTCAAAATGTCCATTATTGTTGTCCGGCATTAATTTTAGGTTTAAAAATGAGAGAGTAATTTTGTCTCATCATTATATTTTTTCTTCCCAAAATTCATGGAATTAAAATCCCAAGGGGGGAGGCATAGATTTTAATTCCATGAAAATGAGGGAATTGCAATTTTTCAACGAAACTAAGGAATTTAGTGGCCTTTGGAATTAGGTGTGAATTAAGTGGGAATGAAATTTAAATTCCCTCAAACCAAACGCCCTGTTAGTTTCTCTGGGCGTTTAGGAATTAGGACTCGCCCTGATCAGATTAGGTAAGGGTGACAATTTCGATCTGAGCAGATATCTATCCAAATTCATCTTGTATGGATTGAATTTTTTGGGTGATAGTGAGTATATAATGGGTTGGATGAGTCTTTAAAAAAGAAAAAAAGCATGATGGGTCGAGTTGATTCAGATTTTGTGTACAAAACTCGCCTAGAACTTCATCCGTCCATCGTGTGTGAGTGTGTGTGTATATATATAATAAAATAAGTGCTAGTATATAAGTTATTTATAAAAGTTTATAAAATTTCGTGTAATTTTTTACTATTTTTATATCTAAATTAAAAATTTATTTTTTAAAATAAAAATTTAATTATTATATTTAAATATTTTAATTATTTTATGTTTTATTATAACTAATAAATTTTATTATTTTATTATGTGAAAGTAATTTAAATATTATTATTATTATTATTTTTTAAAGATGATAAATGGTGGGTGCTCGTAGTGGGCATCTGAACTTGGTGCGGTAAGAGTGAGTTTTGAAAAAGTTCATTCCATGCCAATTAAGAACGAGAGTGAATGAAGAAAATATATTGTGAGTCGAGTGGTTGGTATGCACTGCACACGCCATGCTAAGCGAGTAAGCATAGTTCGGTCTAAATTCTTTTTTTATTTTTTTCTTTTTTCTTTTCCTCCTCTCTTTCTCCTACTTGACTCCTGAAAAACCAACAAAAAATCTCACCAAATGAGGTTGCTTAAGGTAATGTAGATAAGTTGGATCTACAAATTATAAACGTGAAGTTCATATCTTCAAAGACACTACACATGATTTTATTTTATTTTTTCTAAAAATAGACAAACATTGCATGCAAAACTGCCACCTGGGGTTTCATAGCTGAATTACACAGTCAAGCGACACATACACGTCAAAGTTCATTTTCTGAATAAATGTATTATTCAAAATACTTATACAAATACCATATTTTATATTAAAACATTATTTTAATACTTACATTATTCTATATAAATTTTACTTTTTGGTAATTGGAATTTAAAATATATATTTTTTTGTCAAAAATGATTTAGGCACAAGCTAGTGAACCATTTCTTCTCCAGAGTTCCTATGCAAATTAAACAAAGAAGAAGCATCGTTATCTGTTAAGATCTTCATCCATGGAGGAAATACAACCGTCCGCGGCAGCGCCACCTTTAACCACCTATAACAGTTCCGGTAAAGGACAAGATACTCCGCCGGCGTCCGGCGTCAAAAAAGGATGCTTATCTTTTGGAGCTTCTTTGGTAGAATACTTCCGCTACACCAAAGCATTTTTTGTTCGTCAGGTTAGGTTTTACTACTGTCTAAACCGATTTTTGTTCGGTAATATTGAACTAATTGAAGGTTCGCCCTGGCGTATATGCAGGCAAAGAAGTTGACGGCGAGAAGCGAGAAAGAAATAGCAGAAGCTGATCTACAAGCCTCGAAGATGGAGGTTGAAGCAGCTGATGCTGCTGAAGAGACCAAGAAGCGACTTGATAAATCAGATTGAAATATTAATATGACGGTAAAAATTGTATATTTTATGTATAATAATATATGTCGTCATAAATAATTTGGGTGTACGTATTTGAGATTCTATAATAGAGTTAGTTTTAGATTTAGAGTATTTTTTGAAAAATTATTAGTGCAGTGGGTCATGAATTTTTAAAATTGTCCTCAATGTTAATAATTCACACCGGAAAAAACCAAATTAAAATTGTAAATAATTTAATACTTAATGACTAAATTTTGATAGCTTAAAAAGTCAATGATTAAAATTGAAATGAGTGATAAATCCGGAGAAACTATTCTATAATATATACAAGTCAGATACTCAGATAACAGATTCAGCCCTGGTCTCACATAATTCACTTGGTTAATGAACATTATTAGTTACAAGTATGTACATTTACACTAACAGGGATGTGCATATATTTTAATTGGGATGAACAAATATATAATTTCCCTAGACTGTTGGAGCTTCTAAACGAATATAGTCATACATGATTCCCTGGAAGGGGCTTTGATTCCTAGGTTGAGTCAAGTAAATGGTGTTCTCTCCTTCAGTGAGCAGACCGCCCTGTATATCCACATTGAATAGCCAGTATAGACCATGGATTCCAAGCCTGGCTATGGAGTTATCCCTCCCAAACAATCTGCTCGTAAACAGTGGTCGATTTGTATTGGGATTGTTAACCCGAACCTTCAAGGGAATTAGGGATCAAAGATTAGTAAATGAGTGCCACACTACAGAAAAGTTGACAAGAATCATGCTTCTTTCCATATACCTGTAGCTCGGCAAGGGTTGAAGATGCAATTGCCATGCGCAATTTGTAGGTACCACCTTGGTGGACATTGTCAAGTTTGAACTTGATTTGCCATGTGGTTCCTTGATATGTGCCATCTTCTTTTTTCCTGGAATCATAAGAGTTTTTCAATTGGGAATAGCCAAGCATGGAAAGTCATGTGACCCAAGAGCCAAGAGGTTTGATTAATAAAACCCGCATGAGTAACTCAGTTGGTTTCTGGGAAAATTGTAGGCAAGGACACAGGATCCAGTCCTGACAGCCTATACGTGGGAGTTGCACCCGATGTGGTGGGCTCCTTGTGGACACCAGGCAATCAGTCATTGGTCCTCTCACCTAATGGGTCACTGAGTCACCGTGATTTATCCCTCCACTATCATGTCGGGGTGTGGGGACAAGAGCAGCTCAATTAGTTCCTGGGTGATAAATTGTAGGCAAGGACACAAGATCAAGCCCCGATAGGCTGATAGCTTTGGTGAGTTACACACTTACACCCAATGTAGTGGGTTCCTTGGGATACTAAGGACACCCGGAAACTCAGAAAGTGTAAAGATTTTTGCCCAAGGGGTGATTTAATGGCATTATGCTCTTCAGCTTGGTGGTTACATCAACTAAGAACCATACCTAGTTACTTGAGCAAAAAACCAGTCTTTTGAATAGTCACTCTCACCAACTGTGTATACAAGATCTTCATTTGGATATAACTCTGAGTATCTTTCCCAAAGCCCATGTTGCCTAAACCTGCCAATGAAGTAATATCCCAAAATCACTTCTTTCTTCTTAGCATTATAGTTGGTACAGGAGGTTGTTGTGGAAAAAAAAAAAACAAATTACCACTACTTATAATGAAAAAAAATATATAAAAAAAAAATTCAAAGCAACACTTACTTCTCGGGGTGGTTGACAAAAATCTTGTTAAGATACTTTGGGTTGGTATCAGGAATATAGAACTCTGCAGCGCTACGATCAGGGATGCCTATCTCCCATAGTGTTGGGCCATCCCTTGGAGGCTTGTAAAGGATTTCACCAACATCAATTCTACAACCTGTTTAACTTCTTTCACCCGATGAGAAACATCTCAAAATAACTGTAAACATTCATTAAGAAGAACGAGCTTTGAATTTTGGAGTGATATGGAATTAGGACCTGAAGCTATAGTTATGGCAGCTTCATTCCGATAATCTCCAATAAATCCGGGTACCCATGCATAAAGATTGTAATCACCAGGACGTACATTATTGATGGAGAAATATCCATCCCCACTTGCTCTAGTCCAAAATTGGTAGCCCTGGTAAAGGGATTTTGTTAGTAGCTAAATATGATTAGAGATGCCAAAACGAAGGACCAAGGGTCAATGATGTCAGAATAATAATCTTGTGCAATAAGTTTGATGAAGCAGTTATAGAGAGGTTATTAGTTGGAAATGAGAATTGAACCACATAACCAAAACTACCTTGCATTCTTTTTGCCAGGATCCAGCGTCTCCCGGTGGAGCTAATCCCACGTATGCACCACTTGCAGGCATAACGTCATCACAGACATACCTATTCAATTAATTTCAAAAGCTTTAGAAATCTGCATTCATTGAATATTAGGTGGTAAGAGATTTTTTTACCAAAAGACTATCGGGAACAAATCCACCATCATCCTTACTTGTCACTAACCAATAGTCTACCAATAACATTGCCCCGCTGATCTGCTGATAGGAAATCCTCAGACGCTGGAAAGTTGTATGGCCAGCTCTGTACCTCTACCAGCATCTACAAAACCCATAGTGCTTCCTCGAAATTTTTATATGCATAAATTTGATTTACTAAACAAATAAAACTTTCCACTGCTAACCTGTTGTTTGGCATCATTCCATAAAGTGAGTGCATCTTCGACGTTCATTGTGGAGTTAAGGTAAATGAAAATTGGACCAAAAACTTTCTTCCATGCCTCGCCTTGTTCAAATTTTGGCGATAGTTCCTCTCCAGCATAATGAGAGCCAAGGAATACCTAATGAAGTGGCAGCATGCTTCAGAAATGGAAAGTACAACTGTACAACTACAAACTTGTTTATTGTTCAAAAGTTATATGCTGAGTGAATATATTAACTATTAATGGTGTAGCACTAGAGATGTTCCTGAATGATTGATGAATAACTATGATTGTCTAAGCTCAGAGTTTGCTTACAGCTAGGGTTGTGGGACCAACATGCGATGTAAGGTTCTGTTTGACAGGCCCACCAGATCGGAACTCATCACTGGGTGTGATTTGCCAGAACCCCACAGGCGGGTTCATAGATATCCATCCATGGACCTTGTTATCCTTGTTCTCACATGAATACTGGTACTTGTCATCTACCTACAAAGAATAGTCATCAAAACCGTTTGTGTATACAATACACTCCCACTGTCCCACACACACATATTCTTGCTAGTAACTAAAAAGGTAACAACTAGTAGACATCATTTATAATCATTACCTCTCCTCTTAATTCTGGATTGACAGGACTGACAAGTAGGACTGCTTCTTGATAAGCAAGGGCATGGCATCTGCCAGGTAATCGGTCATCTGGTAGGGGCATCAACCTTTGCCTATTGTCTGCCACAGCCATGTAGTGAAATCTATGGGATACAATTACCGTACGGTTAGTATCATTGTAAATGTCTTGGGGAAAAGCTGATCATGTTTTAGCTTTTGAAAGCCAGCATGGAAGTCTTAATCTAATGAACGATAGGTAATATATGGTATCATATACAGACAGAGCAAGAATCTCCTTACTTGTCTTTCCGGAGCTTGAATGCTATCCTGGTTTCACCAAGACTGAAAGCAGGCCACTCTGAGGAACCAACATGCTCATAAATGGCATATGTGTAGAAACCAGATGAACCACGAAGCAAAACAAACCTATGAGATTGACATTATTCCTGTTAAAATGCTATTAACACACTTATCTAATGTGATGAGTCTAAAGAAAAAGAAAAAGAAAGACCTTTTATCAATGTTTAGTGGAACAAGCTTGCCCCGAAGAGAGGGATCCCATGGCCTTGAGAATGATAGCTCAACCTGTTCCTCTTCGTCCTTTATAACTGTAAAATTTGTTGCATGGATCCTACACCATAACAAATTATTTGCAAAAATACGGAGTGCCTTCAAAAACTTGCTGGAAAGAAGATAGATAAAGAAATTGCATACACTTCAAATATTCCAGCTTTCCCACCATCCATTGCATTCCATACGACATCCCAGTACCTACATATTACATTATGCTGAGCCATAATTTGGGGTCTAAGTTACTCTTACTAACACATGAAATGTAGATTGAGTAGGGATGAAGTATTATCATCAAGAAAAACTATCATCATTTGAAGATTTAAGGACACATTTGCTGAACTCGTATATGTTTTATCACACCATAATGTCATCCCAGAATTATTATTATTATTATACTAGACTCAAAGTTAACGATAGAAGACTTTGGAAATTACCCTCTGTTAGATTCATTGTTGCGGATTTCAAGCACATTGTCGATGCCATTATAACGGATGCCAGTGACAATTCCCCCGGGCTTTGATAGAGTGACTTGGATAATGCCATTATCCATCACCACCTACAATAGTATTTACTTTGGATGAAACACTCTTATTGCACAGATTCTCAGACAATCTGTTAGTACTTAACAGATTACAAATGGTATGTTATTAAAAGAATAAAGAGAAAATAAATAAAAGAATACTGGAAAGGTTTAGTGGTCAAAACAAAGATGTTGACTTGGTAACCACGAGGATCCAAGTTTGACTCCTAGTGGGAGCGACCTATTGAACTTTTGGGTTTGAGTCGATCGGGACAACCTAGGTTGGTTTATCTCCTTTCGCCGGCTAGGGGTTTATTCGTTGCACACCTCAGAACTTTTGGGTTTGAGTGACAACCTAGGTTGGTTTATCTCCTTTTGCCGGCTACGGGTTTATTCGGTGCACACCTCGGGTAGTGGCCGACAAATACAAATACCAGAACTATAGTATAAGGGTTGAATAATTCTCACATTTGGACCAAAAAAAAAAAAGGTGAAGTTCATGCTGGCAAGATAAAATAACCCTTGCCTAGTTGCATTGAGAGTATTTGCTGAATAATATAATACAAAAAAATACATTCTCTTACATGGTGATCTTGTATGTACAATCGTACTCCCGAAGGTGGCATTGATCCGGGACCACCACTAGGCCTACAATCCTCTGTAGAACAATAAAGTTAACACCCAGTTTCAATGGCAGAGCTGTAGCTCCAATTCCAATTCCCATTCACAATTCATATTGGCTAAGTGGGGTCTCTCAAAGCTAAAGATGAATTTAAGCAGGAATGATGCTTATAACTTACAGTGCTAATCTTCTTATATTCACAATTTTAGCTCTACAATCGCTTGGTGTATTGGGTTCAATTTAGGGCATGAATCAATTGTGGAATACAGAAATTAAACTGCCAAAACACCGCGATGACGGTTTCTTTGAGGGTTCCGTACAATGTGGAGAGAGAAGAATAAACGTAAACGTAAACGTTAAAGAAAATGAATTACCTGTGTGTCTTACACGTGTGCATAGACCATTTAAAATGCGCCTGAAATTACGCCCACAGCCCATTCTTGCGCTATAACGCGCCACCAACTCGTCGGAATCTTCCAAGACCTTGCCTTTGCTTCATATCCCCCTAATCCCCGCCTGCCGCTACCAATCAATCTGGGTCACCGACATCACAGCGTGTTCTGTTGAGCAGATACCCACCATCTAGAGTTTTCTTTCCAGTGAGTTGAGGCTACTGTACTGAATTGTTGATAAATGATAAGTTGACTTGGGGTTAAAGGAAGCAAAATTCATTTTAGGAAAAAATGTTCAAATTGTGCAAGACTTGTGATCTAATGGCACCCGTGTTGGATTTTTATATGGGAGGTCGCAAGTTTGAGCTTCAATGGAGGTGTTATTGGCTCTTTGTGATTCAGTAGGTTGAGAAAGTAGTTATGAACATATATTACATTGTATTAGAGTCAGTAGCATTCAAGGAGTTTAAACCCCCTCTCTGGTATGAAAAAATCAATATAGCCAGCACTTTGTCCTTTAATTAGGCTGGCCCGGTACGAATGAGGACACAAGACAAACAAAATAGGATCACCCCCTCTCGTATGGAAAAATCAATATAGCCACTTTGTCCCTTAATTGGGCTGGCTCCGATACGAACGAGGACACAAGACAAACAAAATGGGACGGAGAGAATAATAGATTGATCACTCCCTCGACAGGCTACCATGCCACGTGAAACATTATTACTTTTATTATTAATTTTTTCCAAATCTCCAAACTAAAAGCATGTTTTCCCCAAAATCTCAAGAACCTGTGAACTAGAATACATAAAACAGAATATAAGTAACAAACCTGTTTAAATTATGTTTTTAAATTAAACATTATTTCGCTCATTGCTCGTTGCTCACTCACAAGTTTACATGTTCAAAAGTTGCGTTGTAAATAGAAAATGATTCCCAAGTTCAAAGATTCGCTCACAAGTTCACAGGTTTGCAGGGTTGCAAGTTCGTCGTTGTAGACAGAAAATGAGGAATTTGTACGATTGAAAATTCTAAAGAAAACATGTTTGTAATTAGGAGATCTTGAGAGACTAATAATAATAAAAGTAATAATGTTTAATTTAAAAATATAATTTAAAATTTAAAATATAATTAAAAATATGTTTAATTTAATATCCACGTGCCACATTACATGGTAACTTTTGAGTAAGGAATTAACCTCTTATTTAGTATAATTGAATATATTTGGTATTTTGTGTTCAATTTAACAGTCAATTTGAACATTTTTTTCATAAGCTGGCTGCTGGAGATCTATAATAAAAGCTCAAGCTGTCTCTACCAACAAAACGCCGCCAAGCTGGAAGAATCTCTAGACAATTTTAAATTCTATCATCTTTATTTATCTACGTAGGATATACTAAAAAAAAGAAGGGATAAGGGTCAAATAGGCCATCGAACTGCACACGATAAAACAATTAGGCCATTGAACTTAAAAAATCAACAATTAGGTCCCTAAACTAATCAATTTCAAACAATTCTTCCAATTTGAAGGTTTCCAACAGGTCAACAGGTCATCTCCCAAATTAATTATTTTTTTAAAATATAAATTTTAAAAATTAATTATTTTTAAATTAAATTAAAAAAAAAAAAACTGAAATCCAGCCGGAGACGACCGTCTCCGACTGGAACCAGTTTTTTTTTTTTTTTTTTTTTTTTTTTTTTTTTTTTTATAAATTTAAATAATTAATTTTTAAAATTTAAATTTTAAAAAATAATTAATTTGGAAGGATGACCTGTTGACCTGTTAGAAACCTTCTAATTGAAAGAATTGTTTGAAATTGATTAGTTTAGGGACCTAATTGTTGGTTTTTTAAGTTCAGTGGCCTAATTGTTTTATTGTGTGCAGTTCGATGGCCTATTTGACCCTTATCCCAAAAAAGAAAGAGAAAGAATGCATCAGGATTACTCTCAGCTGAGTGTTCAAAAAGTTAGTTTAATAAAGATAAAATTTTAAATTTGATACCTCATAAGAACTTTTAATAGATCAATTATGAACAAAAAAAAGTTATTTTTCTTCGTGTGACCTTCTGTTGACTAAGGTCACTAGGAGGGCAAAGGTAGATAAAATAATAAATAGGGGTATCTAAGAGATGAAATTAACCCAGATTGGGCCATTATTGACAAACGAATCTGATTACAACCATAATTGACTCCAATTTTACATACACCCGTTAATCATGAAACTCATCTCATACTGGAAATTGTTTTTGCATGACTTGTACAAAACATGAAGATAATTATGAAGTACACAATTGTGCAGGAAGCCACTGCAACAACTTCATTTGGTAGTAAGAAAGTCCAGCTGACTGAAATATCAGTTGATGGACCATATTCAAGCACCATGGATTCCTAATGTAATTGAGAGTGCTCGGCTTTCCTCTGGAAAAGAAGTGACCCTAACAAAACAGCAATTCCTGTTATTGCGATGGTAAACAGAAGGCGCCTCTTTGAAAACTCGTTTGGATGCCTTCTTGGAATATCAGGTTCTCTTTCTACTGCCCTTGTGTTCCTGAAGAATTTCAAAACAATACCAAGAAGAAGGAAAGGGGGAACCAAGTGAATACTAGTGTAAAAGAAATGAAGCATTGGTGTCACCTGGGGAGCAATGTCCAAAAAATAGAAGAATAAAAAAGCCCAAAATCTCTAAAGCTAATATCCTACTCAGAGTAAATGTATAAGCATAAGTGATCAATGTAAGGCGTTTTTGACTTATGTTTGGTCCTCAGCTTCAACAGTATATGAGGTGATCCCTTCAACTCAATTTGATTTCGAGAACCAGCTTTGTGAATTGTAAAGGCAAAAATGTGGTCACATAAGGGAGTTGCAATCATAAGATCTGCCCTTTTTTTCTAGAAAGAGACAAATGAGGATGTATATAGTTGAGAATGCATTACCTGGAAGATTCTGCAACATTATCTGCTATTCCATTGCATCTGCTCTCATGGGCATTCCTTTCGCATAGTCTGATGTATCTACTACAGAGATGACAAAGCTCTGTACGGTTCCCACATACTTCCTGAAATTTTGAAAACAGGCAAATCAGATCATAAGTAGATGCTAAAGACCATCCACAATGGGGATTACCTGATGCTTATACAAATCGATTGCAGGTAAAGGAAACTCGCAGTACTCGCAAGTAACAATTCTTTTTGGGCAATTTTCCCCTTTATGAACAGCTAAAACTTCACGTTCCATTGTCTCGCTGCACAAGGAGCAAGAAACCTGCACCAAGACAAATAATGACCTTATTAATAATATTAAATAGGTTGAACTTTGGCTGATTAGCATCTTTTTAGTCAGCAGCAGAGGAATAACAGGATGGATTGGAACATTCTGGCACTATGGTGAGCCTCCACCTCCAGTTGGTTTTCACTTTTAGATTTTAGACAGTTCGCGTAACCCCACATAGACATGTTAAGGATTTATTTAAATTACCTATTTAGATTACCTTGTTAGTTGGACCCCACCTACCATAATTAAAGAAAAATGTCATTCCAAATTTCATACTTCAAAAGTTAGACTAGGTATATAAAATTTAGTCCCAATGCCTAATGCCCTGCTTCATATCTTAAGTTCCTCTATAGGTGCAACTATCCACAAATGGAAAGAGCCAAAGCAAGTAAGTTTTTATTAGCAGTAATTTATAATCCTTTGGCAATATTATAATAAGTTAACTGGATTTAATTTATTAGTCATTTGAAGCTAAGCAATCATCAACTACCAACTTAGGAGAAATTTGCTATGCCTCTTATCCTTATGCAACTTTGATTTTAAGCCCAGGAACCTTGAGCTTCTGAGTGCCCATGGCTATACCACAATTCAAAAACCAAAACCCAAACATTTTGACAGTCAGTAAACATGCTATTCTACAAGCGCATACCTGTAGTCATCTCAGATTAGTATCATGATTGAACATTTTGATGTTGATAGTTAGCTTAGAAATTTTCCTAAAGAACTAACAAAAATTGATTCAAGATAAGGGATTAGATACTAAAAGTAAGATAAAATAATGTGCACTCTGAAAAATACATGACCAAAAATATATAGCTTTCAATAATTCAGAATTCCTTGGCACAAAAATACAAGTATACAGGAAGGGGGGCAAATCACTTACTGGAGCATGAGTGGTTAAGAAATGCTCCTCGGCATGTTTCTTAGGAACCATATCACCACAAGTTTTACATTTTTCTAGATTCCGAGAGCAGTGAGCGAAATGCAAATCAAGGTTTGAAGAGGGAATTGCCCTGTCACTGGACATATAAAACTCCAAGTTAAGGCAATAGAGTTTTTGCAGCAAATGAGAGTGAACATGAATACATGATGAACCAACCAACATAATAAGCTAATAATAGGAAACTAAAAAACATGTGCATAAATGTAACCTTCAACTACTAATGAGAAAACACCATTGCTCAACCAGTATACTAATCTACTATCCAACAATCAAATTGATTTACATGGATGCAGTTGTCATAGAACACTATCTGGCTTGAAAAGAAATAATCCTTTAGTCACCAGCAAAGAAGTTGAGTTCTTCAGGAACAATGCACATGTGCACATCTAAGGCCCCAGGCCAGGAAGCAACCAAATTTCTTACTATAACACCAAGAAAAATATGCCATAAAGCTATTTATGAAAAACTATTTGTCTCCAAACACACAACAAAATTGTTTAAAGTAAAAGTCATAATTTGTCAGCCATTAAGACATACAATTCAAGGAATCCAAAAAAGCAACTCATACTGAGCATCACCAATACTACTCCTCAAAGTCCTCCACTTGGACCACTTCAGAATAGAAAGCTTGAGAAAACCAATCAATAGTGAATAAATAAATAAATAACTAAAAATAAAAACTAACTTCAAGTGACATCATTCAATCTAAATCACATACCGGTCATTAACATGCCACTGCAATGACAAATACATACATTATGCATGAATTTTCACATAAGAAACCAATCACTAGAGTAATTACGGAAACTATAACTCCTATAAATTAATTACTCTTCAATAGCCACGTGAAAGCAAAAAGTAAAAAAAAAAAAAAAAAAATGAATCAATTTACAAGTAGAAATAGCACCGACAAGAAGAAAAATCATAGGAAAACAATACTAACCAGTGGCTGCAGATGCTCGTGGCTTGATCAGAAGCTACAGCATCCATTATTTGCCTCCTCAAAATTTTCAAAAGCCTCTGCAATATTGATTAAAAAAACAATAAACGAAATTTCCTCTAAAATTAAGATATTTTCAGAAGATTATGAAACGATTTCGGAGTTGTGATTGAGTTAATCAATTGCAATTATGATTTTAATATCAAGCGAAATGATTAGATTCGAATCGTTGGAATTCTATGTTGGAAAAAGGTATAAAAAATGACCTCAGATTCTGAGAATTGTTTTCTCTGTTTCGATAAGATCGATCAAACGATCGGGCGATGAAATGAGACGTAGCCTCAAACCCGGATAGAGTACGAACAGAAGAGAGTCCGCATTGACGACGAGAGGGTAGTTTGGTTTATACGGGTAGAAGATGATTGCGGGTTGGTGAATCTTAACTACGCGGATGTTCACGCTCGTGTAACTTACGCGCTATTGTTGAGGAATTGGGCTCTTGTTGTCTTGGGACGTTTGCATTGGGCCATCAATTGGTTAGAACATTTATTTGGGCCTACCAATGACGTAGTACCAAATTTATTATTTCCGAGGGAACAAACAACTTTTGTGTTTATTAGGCATTATACTTTATATTTTTGTCTTATTTATATGCACGGTTTAATAAATAAAAATAATTGTAAAATTTATATTAATTAATTTAGTACAGTATATGTTATGGCTATGGTATTCAAGTAGCACAAAGGCCCAATGCGGCAATGCCCTCCCATGTCCAAATTCCTTCTCCATGGTCCAAAGACCGGCAAATTATTGTAGGGGACCATGGTCCACACAATAATGATTGCCAAAGACCACCAAGTCGAAACTTGCAAATTATTTTGTGGACTCGAGTCCAAATGTTCACAATTTGTATATTACGAACAAACAATGCTCTCTCATTGGGAGCGTTATGTTGTGCAACCGTGTGCATCATGCAAACGACGTCGTTTTGACATCCGACTTAAAAAAAAAAAAAATCGCTTGCTGTTAACGGCGTTATGTTGTGCATAATTTGAATTATATAGTTCATTCATTCTAAATATATAGTTCATTCATTCTGGATATATCGTTCAAATTACGCACATAACGTCGTTAACGGCAATCAAAACAGATTTTTTTTTTTTTAAAGTCGGACGTCAAAACGACATTGTTTTTGCATAATTTGCCCTCTCATTGCTGCAACTCACTGCTATGGTATGGTATTCTATACAACACTTCTCAATACTCCTCCCAAAAGGGTGAATCCTCAATTCCAATGCCTCGACAGAACATTTGAGATGATGTAAATGAATGTAAACCTTGATCTCTTCTCCCAAATACTGTCTACAACTTAGTGAACCATTGAGCTAAGTCCATGCCTGTAACACCTTCTCAATACTAATTAAGCTAGCTTCTTGTTTTTCATGTCGTCTTCCGGGATGAGCACGGAGTAATTTGTGAAGTCTTGGGGGAAGTGTCAAAGATATTGGATGTAGACGAAAGCAGGAGTAAAGAACACTTGTATATATGCATCTATCCCTACATATTTTGAGATTCCTACAGGAACAATTAGTTATTGTCCCAAGAAATTGTTTTTCATAATGATAATTTGCGAGCTAGTTTAATTATTTTTGAATTTTCATCATTTTATTTAATATGTAAGCACAAAATAATGCATGTACACTCATGATCATTAATTAATTTGTTAATATCAATGTGGGGGATAGATTAAGATTGCGAAGAATCTTTAGCAATGTATGTACTATGTATGTAGCCGATGTTATCTCCTAGCTGAATTGCTTGTGCATACCTACCTAGTTTGATTGGTTAGCTTTATCCACTATTCTAAGCTCCCCGCCCTATCATCACGTATTTAAAAAAAAAAAAAGTACGGGCCAGTATATATATATATACACAGACACACACGACACTGCTACCTAAAGGAAATGCACGCTGTTTAATACAGGCTGTGAATGTAGAATACAATGTAGCAGTGTGCTTTTTATCACAATGTTCTTGATTTGGCAGCAGTGCCTTTGTATTGGTCTCTGGCCTACTTACCTAAAACGATAATTGGGAAACTAATGAAAAATTCTTAACCATTGGTCTAATAGATATAAAAAGTCTCACTTAATATCTACTTTTAACGATAAGGTAAGGGTTTAATCTTTATCACAATCATTAAAGGATTGAGTTAAACTTTTTTGTGTGTAGAAGTGTACAGATTTTAATGTTGAGTTTCGGAATTAAATTAGCTCAATTATCTTCTCAAGTTTAAACCGGGTTGATAAGATTCGGAATATGGTCCAACAAATTAGAAAATTTTGAGTTATGAAAAAAGTAAAAAAGAAATAGTGGTCCTCTTTAGCCCCATGTGATGACCCGAATTTATTGACTTTTGATAAGTATATTTCATCAATGCACTCATATTTTGCTCAAATTATGTACAATCCACTATTAAGTATTGGTGTACAATGACACTTGCGAGACTATAGTATTTGCGTGCACCATACTGCTTACACTTGAGTATTTTATTAGTGATGTCCAAACTTAAAAGGATTATATAAATATTACAGTTTGCTTAACTCACAAAATAGGTCTAAAATGAAATAGTAATGATTGTTATCTGATAGTGTTTTTTTTTTTAATTGAAAATAGTATTATATAAAAAAAATGACCTATTCTCTATTCTCTAAGAATAATTATTTCGAGGGGTTCAGAGTCCTGGTATTAGATTACTATTGAGTTTTCAAGGAATAATATATTTTTGTTAAAGTTTCATTTGTCTTTAATTAATAGCGTATTTTTGTTATGTGTTTGTATTGAAAATATATGACAAAAAGATATTGTAATAAAAATTATTAAAGAAATTTCTCTAAAAAATATTATTAGTGACGGTATGCCATCACAATAATTTTAATCTACACATTGTATATCCACTTCAACAGTTTTTCAAAGTTATGTTTGCCTAACTCAATTACTTTCACGAGACATTATTATATGACTAAATCTTTTATACTATATAAAATGACTATGGCCCTGTTTGGTACTTATTTGACCACTATTAATTATTTGATTTAGTTAAAATATTAATATAAATGTTTGGTTAATTAGCTTTTTGCAACTCCAAAAGGCTAAAATTGAAAAAGCTACCCCAAGCAACTTTTTCAATTAGCTTTTTGAAAAAAGAAATTATACCAAACAACTAACAACTAACAACTAATTTACCAAACACTTTTCTACAATCAGCTAATATTATCAACTATTTATACCCTCTAATTAACACAATCAGCTAACAACTAACAGCCATTTTACCAAACAGGACCTATATATAATTAATTGGAGCGTTATGCTATGGACCCGTGTCTACCATGTACATGGTGGACACGCTATACATTCATAATTTCTATACTGTAGATTCAGAATTTGCATACTGCACATTCATAATTTTTATACTGCACATTCATATTTTTTGTACTGTAGATTCATAATTTCTATACTGCACATTCATAATTTCTGTACTGTAGATTCATAATTTCTATACTGTAGATTCATAAAATTTATAATGTAGATTCATACAATATAGAAATTATGAATGTGCAGTATAGAAATTATGAATCTACAGTATAGATTTTATAAATTTACAGTATAGAAATTATGAATGTACAGTATAGAAATTATGAATGTACAGCATGGTGGACACGGGTCCATAGCATAGTTTGCCTAATTAATTCATACCCCTTCCTTTGCTTTTAAGACCTCCACTTTTTGGGTTCAATTGATTATACGAGTGTTAAGGAGGGCTGAAGTTCGTGGGTCAATCCTAAATCGTCCCACGATGGGTTAGTTTAGAGTCTAGAATTTTTTTTACCTGTGAAAATACAGGACTAGCGGGTTAGGCTTGGTCTGTGCGGGTTGACAGTCTACGCAGGCCCGATCTTTTGATATACAACACACGTAACATTAAAATCTTAATGTAATATTTTTAATTTTTAAACACAAAAAAAAAAAAATTAATATTATTTGATTTTTTTATTTTTAAAGTTTGGCCCGTGGGGCCCGCGAACCCGCAGACGAGTTAGGATTACACAATCTTAGCTCACGGGCTTCGCAAGCTTGCCCACGAAAAAAAATCACCATAGAATGAGTCTAATGGGACTGACCGATCTTCATTGACACCCCTAATTGACTATAGACTCGTACCTCAATTTCTCATCACACATAATTAAATTATTTGATAAAATAATTAATAAACAATTGATGTAAATATCATACCCTCATGGTATGATTTACAAATAAAATGTTGTTGTCCTGCACGGTATAGAGCTGTGTGAACACTTCAGTAAGAAACATTATAATACTTCGATTTGGTATTGGAATGTAGGAATCGGTTTCTTGGTATTCGAAGGTATACTTGGCTGATGATTGACACTTGTCCTAATTAATTTAAAACTAATTTACTTTAATTATGTGCAGTGATTATCCGATCCTTCCTTGGTTTTGTTTGTGGCCAGGTTCTTTAATTATATTTATTGGGTGGATTAAGCAAAAGAAGGAATCCTATCGGTCCACGATATCATGCTTCACGTGGGAGTTGGCCCACTCAGCTAAAGAGTTGAGAGTTCCTAAACCCTATAAATTATGCTTATTGGTTGTATGGGATTTGAGTGTCCATCTTGAGCACATTTACATTCACAAAAGTGCATATTCAAATACTCCATTTGGTGGATGGGCATTTTTTTTTTCTTCAAAATGATAAGAAAACATATTTGATATTTTATCAAAGAAGGATATATATATATATATATATATATATATATATATATATATATATATATGTAGGTGGTAAGTGGATAGTTAATATAATGCAATATTATTGAGTAAATCTTGCTTATGTATACAAATTAATAAACTATACAAGAGAGGTAAATTGTAATGGGTAAACCTCGTTCATGTGTAATAACTCACAAAAGGCACAAGAAAGGTAAATGGGTAAATCTAGTTCATGTGTAATAACTAACAAATTAAATCATACAAGAAAGGTAAATTGTACTAAAAAAATCATGTGCGGCGGGCTCGGTTAATATGATATTGGCAATAATCAAACTTATGTTCTTCGTTCTGGTATAAGAACCATCTCTACCCACTCAACCACTTATATTGAGGCACAAAATTGGAGGTTTGACTCTTATAAGGGTGTATCATATTAAAATGTTCTAGACAAAACTTTCTATTGAATAAGCGTCTTTGCTAGTGCGACCAGAACTGAATTAAATTAAAAAATCTAGATCAATAACTCGATGAAAAATATTTTTCAAAAAAAAATGAAAATGTACATTATTTTCGCTAATTATAATTGAAATTCTTTAATGCTATATT